GCAGGCCCCTTTACGTACCCTCTATTCTCAGCTGCTGCTTTCCTTCCCTACCCTATTCCTGCCGATGCCCACACTGTCCCCCAGGCGCCAGGACATGCGTATGGGCAGGGAGGACACTGACTGCTCAGGTATCTGGTAATTCTACCTGTAAGGAGAGCAGCCTCACTCCGCAGCCCTCACTCTAATTGCCACACATCCCACAGCTCATCCTGCCTCATCCTGACCTCAAGTCCCCACGCCCCAGCCCCTCAGCACGTATTCCCAGAGCTTCTGCAGCCAGACAGTCGGGCTTGCTGAGGGGGCACACAGAGTGGATGTGGGTGGCAGTGAAGTGGGGAGTAGATGCAGGCACGGACACTCTGGGACGGATGGTGGGAAGATGGGATGGTTCTCTCCCAGCCAGAGCCGACTCTTTTCATGCACGTCAGTCACAGAGAGGGGAGCCACTCCCAACAGGGAACACAGAGGGCAATGCCCACCAGGGAGCCTGCAGTATCCCCAACGCAAGTCCACGAGGGAGAGTCTGTGCCACTCCCTGCCCCATGTCCATAAATACTGGGCCCTCGCTCCAACTCCAGAGATCCGCTAAGTGCCCCAGATTCAGCGTCTAGGGGCCCACGATGCCAGCACTGAACAGGAACACAGTGGGATGGCCGCCCACTGTCCTGGAGTAGAAGCGCCGCAGGGAAGGACAGACCCAGGGGGAGAACGGTGCCAGGTGGTGCGGAGGACAGAACAAGAAGCAGCGGGACACCAGGCCGCAAGCTGGAGGAAGGTGAAAGGTAAGCTGAAAGGCAGCAAGCAGACCCCCCAGAAAGCCCCGCTACCAGGGACAGCCTCCACTGGCCAATCTCCACCCAGAGGTTCCCAGGTGGCCTTGCAGTGTTTCAGCCCAAGGCGGTCAGCCCTGCACGGAGAAAAGGACTCCAGGGAAAACAGCTGGACGTCCGGAATGGGCCACGATGAGCAAGCAAGCAGCCTCCGGGCCTCTCGGTGCCCAGCTCTGGAAAATGGTCCTTGGAAGGTCTAGAAGTTGATGGGGGAAGAATATTACTCCAAAACTCCCTCAGCTTCAAGGAACTGGGGCAGATGACGAAAGATGTGCAGCTACCAGATCACACGCTTGGTTTGTACGAGTACAGCTGTGCTCCGGGAGAAAGGCTGGGGCCGATGATAAAACCGCTGGCTGACCCAGTTCAGTCTGAGGCTCCTTGGGCTGGGCCTGCAGGCACTGCTGAGGGAGATACCAGAGCAGCAATAAACCCTCCCCCCACCTCAGGGAGGTGAGGTGAGAAGGAAAAGCAGCTCTCCTCACCCCTCACCACCCCCACCAGCCCCCTCCTCCTCCTCCTTCTGCATAGTATTCATTCTTCACTTACTCACAATCATTTGTTTGGAGGAGAGAGTCAACCCCGTATCTGCTGGGGGGTGGGGTGGGGGGGTGGTGATAGCTTCCTAATTGCCGTGTTGCAATCTGCCAGTCAGTGCAGGCCGCCTGTTGCCACCTGCCCTGTATTAAATACCTTCTCCCTGATTACAGCCCATGGGGCATGATTAGCTGCCTCCGGAGAACAAAGTCTGCTTTCATTGGAAATGGTACTCTCACGCACAGTGAACCCGCACTGTGAACCTGAACAGCTGAGCAGGGAGTGTAGACGGAGACAGACATAAGGAGAAATGTGTGCCAGAAGCTGGCCCAGCAGTGTCCTTTAATCAAAGGACAAAAACTGCGCCAAGCTTCGCTCTTTAACCAGGAGGTGGGACTCATACCTGCCCCTTTTGTGTGGATGTGAAGTGTGTGGATGTGACCAGGGACTTTCACTGTGATCAGGGATCACCGCTGCTGAAGATGGATGGAGTCGTTTCCTGGAGAAAACTCTTCAGAATCCTGATTCTCTCCAAACCACTATCCTTACTCCTCCTCCCACCAAACACCCACAGGAGGCACCAGAGGAAGGTGCAAGTTCGAGAGCCAAGGACGCCCTCTGCTTCCTTCTGCCATCCTTTCTGTGGGTTTCCCCAAGGCCCAGGGCAAAGTCAAAGGTGCAGAAGGGAGGTCCAAGCACCTCCTCTGAGGGCTCAGAGGCCACCCCCTCAACACGGCCCAGCGAGGGAGACTGAATTGAATCCAACATGGGTGTGGCTCTTTGGCTTTTCAAACTTCTGCCTTCCCTCGTCAGATGTCTCCCCCAGTTCCAAGTTCTTCTCTACAACTTCACTGCCCAGTTCAGCTGCCCTGCCCTGGAAAGGCAGCCTGCCACCCCCACCCCCACCCCCCATCGCCCATGCTCTTGTCAGAAAATTATGGCCCCGACATTTATCTGGGCTCAGACTATTTCTGAACCTGACGATACGCCTTTCTGCTCACAGCTGGCACTGAATCAAGCAAGTGGGTCAATGAACCCAACTTCTCAATTACCAAGGGCCCCACACCACCACCAAAATCATTCAAGCTCTTCTTCATAATTCACCCAAGAAAAGTCTAACGGAAGTCAGCAATCACTGCTTTTAAAATGAAAGGAAAACCAGCCCTTCTTTAGCATACTCTCGCCTTGTTGTATTCTGCCTAATTCCCTTGGAATCCAGTAAGATATAAATAATAGAAATAAATACAGGCCCTTCCATAGCCCCCAATCAACTGCTAAAACATGCATGTCTGATCACACAGGAACTAGCGCCTCCTCTGTGAGAACTGTCCTCAGCTAACAGCTAATTGTTAGCTAACAGCTGTACCTAGTCTCTGAACTCCGCAAGCCTGGAGAAAGCCGCACCGCAAGCTCCTGAGAGCCAGGCTCTGCCTCCAAACGAGGCCCAAGAAATACAGACTACCCCGCTGCAAGGGCCAGCCCTGTAACCAGGTGATGGGCAGGGGCTCCACCAGCATGAATACGGCCCCTCTCCACCGGGGCTGTCAGTGAACAGCGGAACAGGCCTCCAGCACAGTGAGCGGATCCTAAAAGAGCTGTTGGGGCTCAGCTTTCCCCACACCGGCCCCAGGTGCCCCTCCCACGTGCAACCAGCCCCCAGTTTCCGGCACGCAGCTGTTCCTGCGATACATGAGCAAGGCCCTCAGCAATCCTGGGCGCGTGGCGGGCAAGCATCCAGCAGCTCACGGAGTGGGGCCTGGGCAGGCTCTGTTCTGGGCTGATGACTCGGCTGGAAGATGCCAGTCTGTGCCCAGACTGGCCCTGCTGCCCCTCTGACAGCCATGCTGCCACCCCTCTGGGCAAGTACAATCTCACCCTCTTGGGACAAGCTGCCTGGGGCCCTGATCTGGCCTCATGCCTGCTCAAAGAGGAACAGACTGACAGGTTTTTAAAAGCCAAAATGGGTGGGTATTACTCTGTCACAGAGTAATCCTGAGGACTCAAAACTAGAGCTGTGACCTTCAGTGCCCACCCGGCTCCCCACCTGAGCAAATACCTCAAGTCTATCACCTGACCTCATTCAAGCAAACACTAGACAGGAACAAAGGGGCTAAAGACGACTGATGAGCCAACCAAACCAACCCCCCTCCTATAAAGAGAGGGCCAACATATCCCCAAGATCACAAGCAGCACCTGACAGTGGTCCCCATGCCCTCTCCTAAGATGCAAGAACCAAGTGAGGGGTGGCCCTGAACTAAGCCTCCCCTCCAGTTTCCTTTGGCTTTCCTGGTCAGAGCCAAGCCACAAACCCCTCCAGCTTGCTAACTCAGGGTCCCTAAACGTCTGAGTAGCATCTACCAGCTCTCACATTTACACACCCCCACCCCACACTAGTAGACAGCTCACTACCTTCTCCCTCCCAGCCCAAGAGTACAGAACCACTGTGCGGGCCTGCAGGTCTCAAGTTTCCCTAACCAGCCTACCCCAAACTGCACGGCCTCCAGAGGCAGGAGACATAGTCTGTCTAAAAAGTTACCTGTGGCCCTAGCTGGCTTGGCTCAGTGGATAGAGGTCAGCCTGCGGACTGAAGGGTCCCAGGTTCGATTCCGGCCAAGGGCACAAGCCTGGGTTTCGGGCTCAATCCCCAGTACGGGGCGTGCAGGAGGCAGCCGATCAATGATTCTCTCCCATCACTGATGTTTCTCTCTTCCTTAGGGCACATGCCTGGGTTGCGGGCTCATTCCCTAGTAGTGGGTGTGCAGGGGGCAGCCAATCAATGATTCTCTCTCATCAATCACTGATGTTTCTCTCTCTTCCTTCTCCCTTCCTCTCTGAAATCAATAAAGAAATATATTTTTTTAAAAAAAATAAATAAATAAAAATAAAGAGTTACCTGTGCATAACACCAGAGAATTCCATCAGTCGGCCTTCCTGTTGTCTTGGGAACCCCCTTCTCCTTTCCAAACTAAAGGGCCATTCACCAGCCTCCCAATCTCAGGCCAGGGCCTCACCTAGGCCCACTGTGGGATCCAAAGCAAGTCCTGCTCCCTTGGGCTAAGGCGCCCTTCCCAGCTCTTCTCGGCTAAAGTCCACCTGAAGTTCCAGCTGTGGAAGGCGGGGTGGAGGGGGCCGGGCTCCACCCACTCTACCTCCCAGAATGACAGTCACCAATGGGAGCTACATCTCAGGTGGGTACCTGGTTCTGGGCTCGAGCTTTCACTTTAAGTAGCTTCACTCTTCTGCCCAGGGAATTTCTCACAACCAGGCCAAGGTTTTCTTCAACCTCCCCAACCCCAAGGAGAACCTTGCAGCTAATCTTAAATTATGACCCTGGCGTGAGTATAATGGGGATACCATTCAATCCTCCTCTTGAAAAAGGAAGGAAACGGTTCAGTCTAAAAGAAAATCTCCACCTGTCCCTGAGGCAGGAAAAAGAAACAGCAGGCTAACTGAGGGACACGCTCCCACTCCATGGTGCTACAGGCATATTAAACAGAAACTCGACCCAATTCTGTTTTAAGAAAGATCTGGGCGGCATGGTACCGACTGAGGGGAGGCCACGTCCTGCAGCAGGCTGGCAAATGGGCAGGAGGCTGTGCCTAGGGAACCCTCCTCCCTGGCCAGAGCAAGGAGACTGGGAAGATGGAGGGAACCCAGTTATAAGCACCAGAGAACAGGAGACGGCATGAGGTAAGCCAGGGGGAGGAGGTGGCCAGGCTGCCGGGAGGGAGGGAGGTCAGAGGCACCGCTGGTGGTACTCCCGGAGCAGGTTAGCTGGCCCAGGTCAGACTCACAGGGTTAGTGTCTTCTCCCCAACCAGCCAGCTCTCCTGGTTAGCACGGTTAGTGACAGACTCATGGCAGACACCCTCCAGGCACTCCATATAAACAGACAGCTTGATTTGTGAGCAGCCCAACTCCGGAGCTGCAAAGAGAGAACAGAAGGAATGCCAAGCTGCAATGCCCAGGGTACACACTGCACTCTCCTGACAGGCAAGGCTCCCCCGGACTTAGCACCGGGGGCTTTCTCCCACCCGGAAATCATGCCAGGCAGAGGTACAGAGCCGCCCTGCCACCCAGTGAGTCCAGCTCACTGACCCCAGGTAACAAGGCTCTCTGGTTGGTCAACAGAGAGGTCAGCTGTTGTGGAAAGGTTGCTGCTACCAGGCGGGGCAGCTCCTTTCTCACCTATTCCCAAACACTGATGCCAGGCTACACCAGAGCCCTAAAAGCTGGGTTGTCAGAACAAATCCACCCACAGCTGCAGCTGCCACCCATCCCATGCCTGTGCTAGCAGAGTCCACCCACCACCACCCACAGGCTCTGAGGAAAGGGGCTGGGAGAGAACTGGCTCAGGGATCAGAAGCTGCAACAAGAGCTGCGTGGAAAGCACAGTACAATGGGGCAGTGTGTGACCCGGCCCAGCACTGGGCCAGTCAAGGGGAGGGCAGCACACTGCTGCCTTTGAGTTTCTGAAAGGGCCGGGGGATGGCTCTTCTCAGGGAGCTGGCCCAGTGGAACCCACAGAGCAAGGATAAAGGTTTTGCTATAGCCAGGCTCCAACAGGGACTAGTCCACCCTCTCAGAACGAGCCATGGTTGAAAGACAAGCATCACACTTTCCTGGATCCTGCAGAACCACCCTAGGGGAAGTAACATGCCCTTGCTTTCTGTATCAAGGCAAAGCAGCCACAGCAGTGGAGCCCAGAGACCCCACAAGAAGTGCCTCTGGGGCAGCAGGACAGGAGAGCTTCAGCAAATACTGCTGTACTTAAAGGAAAGGCAACATGCTGTTAGGGGAACAACAGGGAGGGAGTTTCCCTTCTGCCTGGATAGCCCTGCAGAAGAGGAGATGACTTGGGGTAGAGGAGGGAGACCAGCGACCACCCTAGCCACACAGAGGGGCCTGGCCCTTCTCCCAAGCCCAGGTTAATGATTAACGCAGGCAGGGAAAGCCTCCAACTGCCTACTCTCTGGGATCCCCATAATGCTGTGACAACAGCCCCAGAGCTCAAAAGGCCAAGGCCTGACCATGCAGGGCGAGATAAACATCTAGAAGAGAAAAAATTCTTCCTGTGGGCTCTGACCTCTTCCCTGGACTGATAAGAAAGCATGGCCAGCCACTGAGGAGTGGTTAGAGTATCAGGGTCAAAGGGTCACGGGTTCGATTCCCAGTTAAGGGCACATATATAGGTTGCAGGTTCAATTCCTGGCCCCAATCAGGGCATGTGTGGGAGGCAATCAATCTATGTGTCTCTCTCACATCAATGTTTCTCTCTCTTCTTCCCCCCCTCCCTCCTTCTGTCTTACTCTCTCTCTAAAAATCAATGGAAAAAATATCCTCAGGTAAGGATTAACAACAATAATAATAAAGGTTTGGACTTTAATCCCCTCGAGGGGGGGAGGGAGGGAGGGAGGGAGAGAAGAGAGGAAGGGAGAAAGAAAGAAAGGAAGGAAGGAGGGAAGGAAGGTCATGAACAAGCAATCTTCAGAATCCTCACCCTCAAAACAATAACAATAATAAAAAACAAAACAAAAACACCAACTGGGTCTGGTTTGCTTTCAAAAAGTAGAGAAACAAGTGACCTGCCTAACCCAAGGTTGAAACCAGGGACGTTCTCTGCACGGAAACCGAGGTTGAAAAATCAGGTAGCTTTACTCTCTTCCCAGCCAAAGATGACAGAGGACTGAAGGGGAGAAACAGGTAAGATGCAGTGTTGATGCCCACATCATGCTTATATCCATTTTGATTCCCACTCAAGGGCACTCCTGCCGTACAATTTCAGCTCAGAATAAAAACAGTCCCTCAGAGAGAACCAGCGGCCTGAACCTATATGGAAACCTGTTCACCTCCCGAGGAGCAAGCCCGGAGGACCCCAGGCTGGGAAGAGGCACAACCAGGTTCCAATGGGGACACTCGACCTTGGGTAGCTTGTAAGGTGAACAGAGCAAATAGAAGACCAATATTATTATTGAGTTTTATAAGTAATACATTATTAGTAATGTCTAGAAGGACACAAAATAATTAGAAGGGTACATAATAAATGGTTGACAGTTGTTAAAACTGTTAGTTTCCTATCTTTGGAGGGTCTCTTTACTTTTTATTTTGTGTATTTTTCTGGATGATTGGTATTTTATACAGGGACTTATGTTTATGATAAAAACATACAGATCCCAGGCAGACAAAAGCCTTCCACCTCACTGTGCTTTGCCATCTGGAGGAGCTTTCCCTTCCACAATATGATATGCCCTTGGATCCTTACAGCCTAGTGAGGCCCACAGAACGGGTGGAGTTCTCCCATTCTGAAGTGACAGAGAAGAACAAGTGACTTGCCCAAGACCACAGACTGGGACAGAACCCTCTGTTTCCAATTCCAGCCAAAGCATGGAAAGCTGTCTTCCCTAGGGAGGCACAGAAAAGCCATGACAATTCTGTCATGACCTTAATGGATTCCAAATGCCACTAAGAGCAGACAGTTGACACTTTTAAGACAGTAACTAACAAAGAAGAGGTCTCACTCTTCTACTCATGGCCAGGCCAGCTGACTCACTCAATCTCCTCTCAAATCTGCTTAACATGCAAGGTAGCTTTTCACTCCTGACAAGAGGCCATCAATGAAGACATGCCAGCCCCAAACCGAGAGACCAGGGGTAGCGCCCAGGTAAAAGTCCTTCACTTTTAGCTATTGGCTTCATCCTTTTGATTGTCTAGGCATTAACAAGATTATAGCAAATCCTGGCTGTGAGCTCGGAGCACACCTAGATCAGACTAATGATACAACCAGAAAAGAAAGCAGGCTATAGGGGCACTAAAAGAAGCTTAATAAATAACAAAGAGGATGCCAGAAGCCAAAGACTAATTCAGCAAGAAAACAGACCAGCGTGTTTAGCCTCCTCTTCTAACCCTGTCCTTAGGGGTGTTTTATGCAATAAAAAGGCTGAAAAGGGAGACAGCTGAAGCCAAGCACCGGGAAGATCATTTAACCACATTAACTCAACCCTGAAAAACAATCAGTGACGCTATTTTTAATACTATCACTTTTGTTTATGCAGGACCTGCCTTCCTAAGCATTCAAAAGGTTTTGCCAGATAAATCCTATTTGCTTTAGTCTCCCTGAGGAAGGACTGGGTGGGGGTCACACAATAACCCGGATGGCTCAGCTCGGACTATGTAGGGCAAAAGCATGTTAAACTTGTGGCCCGAAGTTCGCATGCGGCCCACAACGAATATTTTTGCGGCCCAGCCAAAATAATGGTATGTAAGAAAACATTAATTTTATCATTGCTCTTGTTCTATTATATAGTATACTTTTTTGACATATACCTATGTCTCTATGAAAATTGAAGCTTGTAGTTTTTTGCAGCTCACTTAAACTTAAACCTTATTTGGCCCGTGTTAGCCTTTGAGTTTGACATGCTTGGTGTAGGGCCTAAGTGCCTTCATTAAAGGACCAGAGCCCTTAGCAGCTTCAGAGATAGAAGACTTTGCCCCTAGTGGGGAAGACAGGCGAAGAGCCACTAGCATCAGAGAGCAGGAGTGCTTTGAGGGCGCAAAGGAGAGGTGCCTGGCTGGGGGAGGGCCAGACAACAAGGCTGTCTTCCTGAAAACACAGACATACCTTCCTCACCTGATTATAAACTCACACTGGAGTACCACCTGGCATTATACAATTAAGAGGTCTAGACTTCTGGAAACAACTTCCTTTGGTGTCTGCTGAGAACTGGTGTCTAAGAACAACCCCCTTGCCTCCATCAACTACACTAAAAATAAAAAGGCAAAGAGAAGACAGCAACTCTCTCAGCTACCAGCCCCATTTCCGGGGCGTATCCAAGTTAAGCCAGTGCTGTGACACAAGATCATCAAAGCCCTAAGAAAACTGGGCCCCAAAAGTCTGGCTTCCTCAATGCCTAGATGTGTTCCACCAGCTTCACCCAACACTTTTCAGTTCATAAAACACCAGGAGAAAAACAAAACAAAACAAAAAAACACCAGGAGACATGGATCCTCAAACACACCATCCAGTCATCCCCAGTCTTAACTACATTACAAATCTGCCTGCCCCCACCTGTATCCACCAAAGTCACCACCAATCTCGAATGCATGTCACGACCCATCAGAGGAGTCATTCCAACACAGGCATGGGGAGAAGCATCAACAATCTTTTTTTAACAGGCTGCTCACTGACGATGTCCCCAACCTCACCTTTTTTATTGCTTCATCGCAGGAAAGGAGACTCTCAATTTTACTCCCACTTCAAAAATGCTCCTGGCTACCTGGCAGAAAGCAAAAGGCTTATTCTAGTTTGAATAAAAACAAAGCCTTTTCTTATACACTGAGTTTTTCAAAATGGAATTTGTTCGTTCAACAAATATTTACTGAGTATCCTTCACTTGCCAGGCACCGTGCTATATGCTGTAAGCTCATTACCTTTAACGCTCAATACCCCTGCATAAAAGATAATGTCACTCTCACTTTACAACAGTGGTTCCCAACCTTCTGGCCCTTTAAATACAGTTCCTCATGTTGTGACCTAACCATAAAGTTATTTTTGTTGCTACTTCATAACTGTCATGTTGCTACTGTTATGAATCGTCATGTAAATATCTGATATGCAGGAT